AAAAAAAAAAAAAAAAAAAAAGGAAGCTGATCCTTCTAGCATAGATGTTGCTTGGGTAGATGATTTTATTCTTTAATATTTGGACAACACAGGCTCTGATCTCCAGCAGAGAAACTATTCAAAGGGCTGTTTTCAACACTAGAACAGCCTCTTCCAGCTGAAGAAGCCTCCTGCTTATTTGTTTTCAAGTCTACCAGTGTTGACACATCACTGTCAAACAGAAATAACTCTGTATTATTTTTAAATGCTCTTTTTTAGTGCTGCTCAGCAGAATTTTTTTACTGAAGTTTGCCCAAAATCTGGAGAAGCTGAAGGAGCAACTAGAGAACAGTAGCTACCATGAACTATCAAAAACTTGGCACTAGTAAAAAGTACCTGATTTCTAGAAAAACAAAGAGAAAAACTTGTATTTACAAGTTTTCCTCGGGGAAATAGCAATAAGAAAATAAAAAAAAATATAATTCAGTATATTAATGTCCTGTTAGTGGAACTGGCTTTCATGGGAACCCAAAACCAAAGCTGCTAAAGGACTTGCATTACTGTTTGCCTAATTTTTCTCTAAGAATTTCTTAAATTAATTTTTTTTAAAAAAAACAAGCAAATTTCTTAAGAGGAACCCTGGAAATACCTATGCAAAAATCCAAACAGTAGTAAGAGAGATGGGAACAAGAAAAACAATCAGAAAGAAGTGCAATAGTCTGCTGGGAAAGCAAAAGTGCTCATGAACAGGCAAATGCTTCTTAAAAACAAGCCTGCTCTGGGAAACTTCTTACAAGGTCCTGCCTCATTTCCTAATGCCTTGGAACAGGAAGGGAAATGGGTCATAACAGCAGAGTTTGAAAGAGATGACAGATGACCACATTTGTTGAAGGCTTTCCACGAGCTCCTGATGTTGGTAGCAGAACAAAGCTGTTCCTAGAATGCCAAAATTTCTCTATTGTATCCCTAAGACAATCCAGGAACTGATTTGTCCCCAGCCATTGAAATAAGTTTTTTTTTTTTCTTTTCCCCATGGGTTTTATTTTTTCCATGCTATATACAGATGGAATGATAAATCCTATCTTTTCCTTTAGCTGCATAATTTTTAGTTTGAAACAACAACTTCCAGCACTGTGTTCCTTACTTACCCTGTCTATGGTCATGTGTGGCCTCAATGAGCACCAAGTGACAGACCACAATATTTTGCTTTTTTCCAGAACAGTCTGTATTCCAAGATAAAGAAGCTGTTTCACTTTAGGAGAAGAAGCTGACTAAAATAACAGATGTATCCTATTAGTTTCTTTAGCACAAAGCTTGCTCTGTAGACCATGACAGGTTATTTTAAAAACAATAGTACAGTTATCATTTGACACTTAAGTGACCTGACAAACTCTCAAGCTGTCTCTTAATAAAGAAGACTTTTTGGGAGGCAAAGAAGGTCAGAATGAGTGGGTAAAGAGAGGAACCTCAGCACTCCCCACAGCTCCTGAAAGGTGGCTGTGCTCAGCTGGGGCTGGGCTCTTTCTCCAGGAACTGACAGAACCAGAGCACACAGCCTCGAGCTGCACCAAGGGAAACTCAGGTTGGATATCAGGAAAAAGTTTTTTACAGAAAGGGTGACAAAATTCTGGAATGGCTACCCAGGGAAGTGGTGGAATCACCATCCCTGGGTGTGTTTAGCAAAGCCTGGATGTGGCACTGGGTGCCAGGGTTGAGTTGAGGTGTTTGGGCTGGGCTGGACTCGATCTTGAAGGTCTCTTCCAACCTGGTCATTCTGGGAATTAGTATGAAAAGGAGATTTTGCTTTCTAAACACACCTTCCACACATCTTGGTGGTGACCAACAGAGCCAAACACGAGGAATTTTCTTGCTCTGATCAGAGAAGGTTAAGCGGGAGACAAAGCACAGTGATTGACATCAATCTCAGCTATCTGCCTCCACACTGGAGAGGGATTTCCACCTCTGCTCAGAAAGCCTGTCATTAATGATGTCCTCATCACAGAGCCCACACTCCTGCTGCTCCTTGAGGTCTCTCCAGCATGAAGGAGATGCTACCTTGACCTCAAGAATGTGCTCCCTACAAGCTGTTCTCCTCATTTTGCTGGGCCATACTCATGTGGGACAGAGAGAAGATCCTCTCTACTGTGCTGTGTTATAAATAGAGATCCCTGAAGCAGGGAAGAGTGTTGGAGACACGACCACAGGGCATCTAGACAGCTTTCCAAGATCACCTGGGAGATGATGGAATCATGCAGTGGGGAGAAAGAACCACAACTTTTGGAGTGAGGTGGAAATTCAGTGATAGGAAAAGCAGAGGGAGCAGCTGCTGCCCCCAGAAAAAGCCTCCTGCTAATTCTGTCTTCTTCCCTGGTGCGTGTGGATCAAGAGCTTCTCCTCTAGCCCAGCAAGTATAAAAATCCCTTTCCTCACTCATGCTTCATCTCATTAACTGGAGCCATCTGCCTGATCTGGATCTTGCTGTGAAACAAAAGCAAGGATGACTGCAGTGGAAGTGGGTTTGGAGTGAAATGGCAAAGTGCCCACAGACTTGTCAGGGCTCCCTCACCCACCACGACTGAAAGCAAAGGGAAAAAGGAGTTTGTATCTTGCTTTTCTCACCTTTCTCTATGTGGAGTCCCCCTTCCAGTCTGAATGAATGAAATCTGTATCCATAAACACCTCAAAAGTCAGGTAACAAACTTATCCAGAAGAAAAAACTGACATGCAGGAAACACAAGAATTGAGCGAAGTTGCTAAATGAAGAATGGAAACTGAGATTTGAATTTATCCCAAAGGAAACAAAACACAATTCTCTCTCCCAACACTAAAGCAAAAAAAAAGTGGCTGGAAGGTGTTAGGGATCTGCCTGCTGCAGAGGAGGCAGGAAAAAATTATAAAGGAGTTCATTAAGCTGAATATTCTGTGCTCCCAGTGACACATCTGGCTCAGCATCCGAGCTGCAGGCAGGCTGACACACCCACAGATATCACATCTTACAATGCATCTTCTGCTGTGCTGAATAGCTGCTGCATTTGGAGGAAAACAAATATGCCACAGTTTCAGTAAATACAAGTTATTGTTGAAAGAAATATTGTATTGAAACTTTAATAGACAGAAATGGACCATTCATTACCAGTATTAGAGTCACACTTGGACAAGCAGCTGCTCTGTGAGTAGAAGGTTTAAAAGAGAACTCAATATTTTAAAGAAGTTTTTGGGCTTTCTTTTTTTTTTTTTTTTCCCACTCACAGAATAAAATTCAGCACTGAAAGGAACTGTTTAACCAAAACCATGCTTAATTTGGTGTTTCTTCCAACCCCATGAAGAAGTGACAGAACACTTGACATCTCAAGCCCCATCAAGTCACATCATGAAGCACTGATTTCATTTTTTGTCTACTAAAGCCATATAATAACAACAATACAAATTGTGTCACACGTCGTCATTACTCTGAACAAAATTTCAGTGCTGTGTTTTCAACTACTTCATAAAATACCCTTTCCCCACTTTCCCTCCTTTTGAAGAGGGCAGCATTTACAAAAATCAAGATTTCTAATTAGAAGGAAGTTAGCTTATCACATCAGTCTTAGAATGTGCCAGAAGCAACACAGAACACTGAATTCCAGTGAAACCAGCAGAAGCTTTCCCCAATTCCTTTCCTTCCTCTGAAGTCCTTAGCACCAGTTTTCATGTACCAACTCCAATGAATAGTAAAGACATAAGGAAAGTACCTCCAAGCCATTTTATTCTCATTTCTAGTGGCAACTGCTTGACATCATTGTGCAATTTTCCTTGTCCATTTTTTAAAGGAAAGGGTCACACCACATGAACTGACTGGCCCGGTCAGAAGTGAACAGTGATGTGATAAATAATTAATAAAGCATAAAAGAGAGAGCAGATTTAACTAAGTGACCATCTGAGCAGCAGCTTAACAGAATTTAAACAATTCCTACCTGGCAGTGAAGCTAATGCAAAAAAAAAAAAGAGCTTTAATGAAATAGCAGAGGAATTTAAGCAGTGGGTTGTCAGGTTTCATTTTCTTTCCTGACAGGCAATTTTATCATTCCTGGACATTTCATTTCACCAATTTAGAATTCAAGGCCCACTGGTGCTTCCCCCACCTTACTTATTTCTGAATCTAGACAAGATGGGCAGTGTAACTCCACTAAATTCAAGCAGCCTGCACAGATCTGAAACAGCTCTCTTGGTAAAAATCACCAGTCCAACAGTGTAACAATATTCAAAAGTCTTCAATGCTCTTTTGATCTCCTTAGAAGGTTTTCCTACTTAAACTGTATTAACACTCAAAATATTAAGACAGTATAAACACATATAGAGCTTATTAATCTTTAACACAGCATTTAAAATAGCAATGTCACAGACTTATTTTACTTCAAGAACCAACTGAAAGTTCAGCTATATTGATTTCTTCTAAAAAGATATGAATATCTGAGTGCCTTTCATTCATTTGAAGAAAACACTCTTTAATTAAATTATATTCAACATATTCTTTGATTTTTTTTCAATCTTGTACATTTTGATCTGGTCATTTTAGGAATGCTGTGATTTGTGTCCTGGTCTTGTGTACAAGTATTGCACAACTCCAGAACTGCTCACTGAGGGAGCACAGAGTGAGGATGAAAACTTGTGTGGACAGTCATGCGATCTCTCAAGGCATAACACGCATTTAGAAAATAATTGTTTTGCAAAATGCAAGCTGGACACTACTGACTTCAGACCATTTTAACTCATGTTTTTCTACAGAAAAAACAAACTTGGTTTTATGTTTTAGTTTCTACTGAAGTCCCATTTTCTCTCAGCTGTAGTTCTGTCAGTTGCCTCACTCCTTCCTCCCTTCCATTCCACAGCATAGTGGAAAGGAAATTTTAGTAGCTTCCCATCCCCTTCTTTCCTCAGATGAACGTGTGCATACATGTTACACACTCCTCAGCCTTCCCTTCAGCACATCCAGGCTAGATTTCCCTCCTTTCACTCAAAATGTCCCTTGGCTAGCAGAAGAAGTCTAAAAATACATGTACAGTCCCTCCTCTTGGCAGGATTTTCAGTGCAATCTACCTCTGTGAGAGCAGTTTCAGCAGGAACTGTTACAGTTCAGACTTTACCTCCACACAGAAATCTCCATCACTTTCATCTGCTCTCCTTCCCTCTCTCCCACCAAACAGTTCCTTGCTCTTACTCCTGAGCTTTTCAGAATTCAAACACAACCAGCAGAATTCAAGACAGAGTAAAATGGACTGAACAAGGGAAGGAAGGAAGGAAGGAATAAGTTGCATCAGACATGAAAAATTGTGTGAAAAGTAGAAGGATAAATAACCCATAGAGAGATCTCCATTTCTGCAATTATTTTCCATAATAGATTCACCTGTATTTGCAATCTCAGTGTACTGGAAACTGTATGGAAAACTTGGCATTCCTATGTTTGCCATATTGAACTGAAATTCTTCAGATCGTAACAAAAATGCACTCAGTGTTGTCAGATTTATAAAGAAGAAATTTGTGTTGCATTGTTTGTATTCTATCTGTATTTGCATCTAAAATCTCCATCCCTTCATTTGACTCATTAAACAAAACTTATTAACCTTGAAAAATGGCCAAAAGCTGCTATCCCTGGAATCAGCATGTATTGAATGTTAGTGGACTGCTTAGAAAAAAAGTCTAAATAATAATGATTCTTTTGATTTGATGTAGCTGAAATTTTATGAGAAGTGTCCAATTTTTTTAATGTCTCAGGTTTTAAATGTTGGTTGTTTACAGAATGTAAAGTGCCAGCATCCACAACAGAAATATTAGTTTTATATTACAGATGAATAGACAGTATTAGCAATCCACCATCAAACCAGTAATTTTTTTTTCTGTACCTCACAGCTGTTCCCCATGAGTGAAATTTGTATAGGACAAACCTCTGGAAGCAGAATTAATCCTTGCTTACAAAACACCCACATGATAGCAAAGTAAGACAAAATCCTGACCTTCTGAAGTCCTCCATTCTCCTCCACCAAAGGAGGCAGAGCACTGGTGCTGTTGGTGGATGGTGGCTCGACATTGTAGTCACGAAAGCAGCAGAATAAGGTGCTAAAGATACTTCGACTCCTCTGCTTCTTCAAGCTGATATTACATTGGGACACTGGGGAAAAAAAAACACACAGCAGAAATATAAATTCATGCAGTACAGACCTGGTTTTCCAACTACTGAACTGAAGATGTAGGGTTTCTATACCCAGAAATCTTTATCAAGTCTTAAGGTTACTGTGATTTTTCAGCATATTGAGACTGCATTTCTTCTTTTTTTTTAACACATTTCTTCCCTTGCCAGACTTGTACAGTGACATCCTGGAACTCTGCATAATCACACTGAGACAACACAGAGTGTTTTCCCAGTAATATCATAAACCCAGTTATTGGATGGTTCGGTGTGGGGACAGATGGAGGAGACATGGGGGTTGGGGTATTCCAGAGTAGAGAAAATGGAGCCCCAAGACCAGCTTGGGAGGGCAAACAGAAGGTTTTATCCAGAAACTCAGGAGGAGGGGTGTAGGAGTAATAACCAATGAGGGTAGAACTGGGGAGGGGTCTAAGGCAGGACTAACAGATCATAAACCCAGTTATTGGATGGTTCGGTGTGGGGACAGATGGAGGTGACATGGGTTCCAGAGTGGGCTCATAAGGAGGAGAAAATGGAGCCCAAGACCAGCTTGGGAGGGCAAACAGAAGGTTTTATACAGACATCAGGAGGAGGGGTGTAGGAGCAATAACCAATGAGGGTAGAACTGGGGAGGGTCTAAGGTGGGATGGATAGATCATAAAGCTATCAGGAAACAGGGGCGTGGAATAACACTAAGTAACATATAGGGTGTGGAGTGTAACCAAATGGACAGGGAACACTCTGGAAGAAGGGGAGGGGACTAGAAGGAGTGACAGGGAATGTTCTAGGGAAAGGGGCAGGGAAAGGGAGGATTGACAACTTGGAGGGGAGGAGTTAGGGAAGAGCTCGGGAAGATTGACAGCTGGGGAGGGGAGGAGATTAGGGAGGAAGGAAATGAACAAACATTAAACAAACCTCAATTTAAGGCAAAAACACATCACCACACTTGCTTATTGGTCTACCAGGATAAAAAGAACCTTAAAGTAGTAAAAAATTACATACAGCTGAATGAAAGCAAGTGTAGCATTTTTAAAGAATGAAAACTGTAGTTGAAAATAATACTTTTGAGAAAAGAAATGCACATAAGGCATCCAGGGATGCCCCTAAGAAAAAAACTCCTGAATACACATTAAAATAAAAAAAGACTAAAACAGAAGACTTGGAGAAAAGTTTTAGAATGTTTTAAGCAAGACTTCATTTGTTCACCAAATATTTTAATGATCTATTATCATACTTGTAGTTAATGCTTGTTTAGAAGGATTTATTTCCTGCTCTGGGTAGGAAATCATCCCCTCACATCCCAAAGTTAGAGGGCAAGTGAAATTCTTAGTAAGTCACATCATTTCCATATTTGCCAAAATACTTTTCCACTTTAAGGCAGTGAGCACTTCCCATGTTCAGTTATTAATTGCTATTATGAGCAATGTGTACCAATATCCAAAAGTAAATGTGTTTTATAGACTTTCACCAATTTAAAAAGTGCTCCCATGACAGGATGAAGTCAGAACTGTGCAGAGATTTGTGTGCTTAAAGAAGTGTTTCATTACTTTAAAAAACATCTGTAAACTGAAACCAATCCAGCACCACTTATCAATATTCCAGCCAAAGAGAAAACACATAAAGAACTCTGGCCACCAGTGCTACAAGTTATAGTAAAATACTAATTCTCAAAATGTCATATTCTGTTTGCAACAACACAGTTTCAGAAATCCCCAAAGGATACCTGGGCAGTTGGGAAGGACGTTTTCAAAACACTCAGAAAAAATGGTATTGCAAGCACAAGCAAGTTAGTTGCAATACAATCCTGGCAAGGAGAACTCCTTTCCGACATTAAAAATTGAAATATGCTGAAATTAGAACGGGAAGAACAATGCTGTGTGTCCTGCTGCCTGCAGCTACTGCCACAGAAACCTTGCTAATAATTTCTGGTTTGTTTTCAGCCTCTACTTAAAAATATGAGGGCAAATTATCTAATTTGAATGTAGGTATCAATTACAGCAGGATGCTTAAATTCCTAACTCACCACCTCAGCTGCACAACAGATCAATGGGAACACCAAAACCACTCCAGAACTAGTATTTGTATCATGTCTACTTACTACAGAATGGGATAATAAATTGCCTAAATAAACATTCAAAAATCTCTAGATAAAAAATACTGATTGGTCCAAACCATCTAAGAATAATTGGATCAAATCATACATTTGAAATCTGGCCACTCCCTTTCACTTACTTAAACATTTTACTAGGGAAAAATTCCTTCATGTTGGTGTTTAGTCTTGACAATTCTGCCATTCATAACACAGTGGTGTTTCAAATAGGTCTTTCCACTAATTTACATGTTATTTTAACAGGATTTTCTTTAATAAGCTATTATAGAGGTTTCACAGTGACTTAACAAATGATAATTTTGGATGCAGTAAGGAACAGAATTTCTCAGGTGGCTTTATGTGCTGTGCTGTGTTAAAATACAAGCACTGCACACAGAAAATGTTTACATCCATATCTCATTTTTAGCAACTCTGAGTGTTGTGCATCATGGAAAATAAAATAGTTCCTCCTTCCTCAGTTACCCTGAGCCACCTGTGATCTGTGTGCTGTTCCCTGGATTTGCTTTCTTTGAAGCAGTGACAGCACAAATATAACTATAAAGTTGCAAAGAAGCAATGATGTTGAATTACCAACACAAATTAAGGCATTCTGAACGGCAGCACATTTTAAAGAGTAAAAGCTGCTGAGCACAAAACCTGGCAATCCTTAAAAAGTTCATAGGTGAGACCAGGTACTAACAAAAACCGAAGGGTAAACTGAGTTATCCAAACTGCACATCTGAGCAGCATCCAGCATATGGAATTTAAAAATAATTAAGACTTCCTTTTCTCCCCCCTCCATCTGTTAGAAGTTACCTCAGTTTCTGGAGCTGATTTCCTCCCCAGACACTCTGAACCATCACTCCCCCACCACACTGAACATCGAGGACATTTCAGTGACGTTTTCCACCTCAAACCCTGCACGTGGAACACGTCAACACCATGTCCCAAAAAAGCCCAGGCAGAGCAACCCCACAACATGAAAATATGTCATCTGTGAAAGGAGAGAAGGCAGAGAGCAGCAAGTGTCTGCAGGAGGGTTGAAGAAGGATCAGGGTGAGGCTGGAGAGCTGCTCTCCCCTCCCACCACCCCAGGTTCACTCCAAGTGCAGCGTAAGGACCTCCTCACCTGAACACACCAAATGTGTGTGTGCAATAATCCTCAACAAATTCCCCTTTCATGGCTTTGTCCCATCGTTTTGGAACCTACACCAACTCCTAGAGCCCAAAGTATCATATGGCAGGAAGGTCCACAGCTCAACCAAGAGTTCAGCTGCTTTCGAACTCCAAGCATCCTTGTTTCTTACCTTTCTGCAGTCCCTAATTCATAATTTTGAAGCAGGAAGAGAGGGACTGGAAGCACACACTATCCAGGATAAAAGGAAGAAATTCCACCATGAATTTATATACCCACGCAATGCTTTGTTCTCTTGCTTTTCTAATAATTCCTAATATCTTACTTCAGGTTTACAACAAGTGAGCATTGGGCTAATGCGATTTTTCAGATATGATTATAACACCAAGATCTCTTCATTAGAAGGGATTTCAGGCATCACTGCAAATATAAATCAAGAATTCTTATAACTTTCCATGCAGAAAATGTCACATGTATTTCCATTTAATTCCATCTGCTATTTTCAAGGCCAGTCATTCAAAGTCATGCTGCCTTCCTACAACTTTTCACAGTTAAATTTTAAATCTATATACAGATGCACATATAAAGACACACATCTATTTACGTGCACCAACAAATACATAAGCTTTTCCCTCACTAACTCTGATCACTTTATTTCCTTTTCTATGTGGTTTAAGGCCACACTGAAGAGCAGAATGCACAGATCCAGCACTGCTTCACTCCTGAGGGTCTGCAAGAGCCTCCAGTGGAGCACTTGGCCAAATTACCTGAGTTTGTACAACATTATTTGCAGGCAGGGTCAGAAAGAGGAGCACAGTTCTTCCTGTCTAGAAGGGAAGTAACTCTGGTGAAGACTGCTCCCAGTTTAGGGTCTCACCTGTAATTTCCAGATGCCATTTCTTAGCCTCGCTGCCCAGGACCCCTGTGCCACCCACTGTTTGAGGGTATGTTAATCCCTGAATTGTCTGGAATCCAAAGACAGTCCCAAAACTGTGCTCATGGAAGTCTTCTGGCAAGTCTTAACAAACGCACAGCACTGCTAAGGCTGGGGAGGGGCTCAAGAAAAGATAAAGGCAATTTTAAAAATAAATTACTGCAATAACATAAGCTCAAATGGGAGGTGTGGAGCAATACTGGATCATTTTCAAGAGAACAGGGAGAAAAAGGCCATAACAAACCCCAAGTATTAACACACACAGGTATAATAACTCCAATATTGTAACAGAAATTAATACAAGAGGTGCTAATAGAAGTAATCTACAGCATCTTCTCCACACACAGGACAGGGGAGGCAGAAGGGCTGTGCTGCTCTCCCACCAGGACATTTCCAGCAGCAGCACAAGTTACACAGCCAAGAAAAAGATTTCCCTCTCATGCACTGTACCCTAAAAAAGTTCAGTTGAGGGCTTCCCCCATCCGATTTTGCTGTAGTGGTGTGAAATTACAAAAGCAGATTTTTTTTATGCAGCCGCAGTAGCACAAAGCCCTTGCTGCTGCAGGAAGCCACCTTGACATGACTTGAAGGCTCCAAGCCCACCCCTCTGCAGCCAGAAGTGAGCTAATTACTGCTGAATTTTTCCTAATTAAATGAATGCAATATCCAGTTCTTCCAAATAATATAAACTGGGTAATGAGACTTCCCTGCTTACAGATGAACTCGCTAAATCCAATAACATGAACATCTGGGTATGGTGAGCTCTCACCATAAGTTTGTTTATAACACAGGATGGAAAGAGGCGAGTCAGAATTAAGTGATAT